GTACAAGTCGGAGTTGTGGTAGAAATTATGTCAAGCAATCTTCCATATAACCACGATTTTATTTGACCAACAAAATATGAATAATGCACTTGGCTCAACAACATTATAAGCAAATATTGAATCAACTTCATCTACTTCTCAAAATTTCAATGCCAAAACTATTTTTTTCCCTTTTATCTAGCATTCGGTCTTCTTTAGCATGATCATTGTCAAAGCATCATATGTTTCATGTATTATTGGTTCTTAGAACCAAAGATTCCATTGATGGAAAGATATAACTTACTCCAAGAGCTAAATATGAGTAACTTTTTTTTTTTACACTTTTTATATAAACGATTTTTTTATAATCATTTAGTTCTATTATATTATTATTTTTTAATAATTATTTACCTCTAGATGAATCTTTTAAGATTATTTTCAAAATAATTAAGTCCAAGTTTGATGACTCCTAACTTACTTGGACTAATGTGTCTTAGAAAGTAAGAAATATATGAAGAACTTAAGGTAATATATTTTAATTATATCATTCTTCACGTAACTTATCTTTACTTTAATTTTTTGTGAGCGTAGAAAATTTACAAATGATTTTTTCAACGTAATCTTACCATAGAACCATATTTTTAGCATAAAGGATCAATTATTTTAAAGAACATATATAATGAGTAAGTTATAAAGGGATACTGGAGCATTTTTATATACATGTAGTTTTGTATATGCTGCCATGCAACAAGATGGTAATTACTTAAAATGTGCTTTTTTCTTTATTAATTTATATTATTAAAAATAATTATTTAATACTAATTGTACAAAGTTTTTTGTTGATGAAATAATCATGCAAATTTTGGAACTTAAGTCAGATTTCACAACATTTGATAGTATGGAAAAGACAAAAAAAAAATAAAAGCATAAAATGGATGAACAACAAAGCCAAAAACATGCTATTTTTTATATTAAAAATTTGGTCTCATTTTGATTATAAACAATATGTAATTTTATTTTGTAAAAAGAGTTTGTTTATTGTGGAACATAAATCCATACATGTGATGATAATAATTATAACGAGGAGGGTGCCTCTCATATAATTTAATATTTAAATAATATATAATTTAGTATTTTATTCATACACATAAAAATCAGAGTTATATGTACTTTTAAAATATATACAAATATTTATTTATTTTAATAAGGAAACATTTTGATATTTTTTTAAGATTTAACCTAAATAATCATAATGATAAATAGATATAATTTAACAATTAAATAATTAAAAATTATTAATAACAGTAAATTCTTACAGCAGTGAGGAAAATGTGAAAAAAATTAATCTTAATAGTTAACTCTTGTATTAATGTTAGTTATTAATTTTCTACTTGATCTTTGATTTACAAATTAAAAACAAAAGTAAAAAAATTATATTCACCTTCTTTGTAGCTTTTGGTAACTACACACTTATCCCTTACATTTGTTTGAGAAATTAAATTGACATTGATTTTCCTAATATTCTCTTATTTTAAATTTTTTTACTTTGGTCAATTTCAATTTCTTTAACAAATTCTTTAATTAATGTTACTCTTGATGCTTTAAGAGATGAAAAATATGCAGCATAGAAAATTAAGAAAGAATGGAAGAAGAATAATACATTATGATTTTATTTCTTGATTTTATAAGGCATGATTAGTTAGCCATCTTATTCAACTGTAATGTTATACTTGTCTCTCTTGGATTGATCTTCTCTTAACAAATTCGTTATAGGGTGCCTAACTTTTGATAAATATATGAGGCAGTATGTCATTATAAAATCAAGAAATGAAATCATAATGCATTATTCTTTCATTCCTTCTTAATTTTCTGTGCTACATATCTTTCATCACTCTTAGAGCATCAAGATGGTATCAGAGCTTTGGTTCTTATCTTCTTGCTTCTGCTATCTCCTTTATACTATCAGCAAACACAGAGAATCAAAATTATCTGAATTTTTCTTCAAATTCCTATTATCTTTACCCAAGTGAGATTTTTCCTTGGTGCTTGTATCTCCTCTTTTAGACAAAAAGAATTACCATCCTTGGGCTCAGGTTGTGAAATTGACGTTGCAATTCCAAAACAAAACAAAACCAAATTTATTGACTTAAGCTTGATCCAGTCATTACCCTCAAGTCTTTTTCATTCACAGTAGAAAAGATGCAATACCATGGTCCTCATGGCTTCAACACTTAATTTCAGAACCAATTGTTAAATCAATCTTATGGATAGATCAAGCCTCAGAAGTTTAAAATGTCTTCATGACAAATTTGTTCAGAGATATATTTCAAACAGCTAAATTACAAGAAGAGTTTTATAAATTACATTAAAGTAGTTTCTTTGTATCTGAATTCTTTACTTAGTTAAAGACATTATTGGAAAAGCTTGAAAACTTCTAACCTCTTCCTCCATGCAAGTGTGCTATTCCATGTTCCTGTGGTGTTGTTGACTCAATACAAAAATACAAGGACCAAGACTATGTAATCATATTTTTAAAGGGGTTAAGTGAGCAATGTTCTCATGTATGATCTCAAATTATGCTTATAAATCATATACCTAGTATTAACAAAGTATTTTCCATGATTATACAGTAAGAAAAACATATGCAAATGTCTGTAATTCCTGACTTATTTAGTGAATCAAAAGTTTTTGCTATTAATTTTGATCACTTTACTGAAGGTAATAGTAACAAAAAAGGAGGATACAACAATAGATGCAGAGGTCGTAGCAATGATAAAAGGGGGCAAAATAGTGCCAAAGTGTGCACTCACTGTGTTAGACACAATCACATCATAGAGACTTGCTATTTTAAACATGTATTTTCCCTTAGGTATCAGTCAAGAAATGCAATAGCTGCTAATGCTAACAACCATGACAATTTTTCTTTAGAGAATGATTTTGCCTTAGGTCCAAGACATGATGTCACTAACTAGGACCTAGTTTTACTTAAGAACAATTTGAAGGTCTTTTTAATCTTCTACAACAATCCAAAAAATCAAGTGCACTTGCATCTTACACTATTAATTCTATTTTCACCACAAACACTATTACACCCTCTTCCCAATGTAAAATTCTAATCAATGGCTTTTAGATATAGGTGCAAAACATTATATCACTTTTTATTTTGGCAATTACCTTAGTCATCACAATATTAAATCAATTTAAATTACCTTACAATGGCTTTCAGGTTACATCTTCAATAGCAAGAATTGTTAAGCTCTTTAATTCCCTTTTATTGCAATATCCTAGATGTGCCCAACTTCCATGTCAATCTAATTTTTGTCATTAGATTGCTACTTTATGAACTTTGTTATATCATATTCACTAGCAGATCCTACTCTATTAAATAGAATTGTACAGGAAAGATGATTAGTTTAACTAATTTGTAAGAAGGCTTATTTGTGCTTTTAACCATGAAGCAAAGTAACTTGGTCTCTTATGGTGCTACATATAGTCTTAATTCCACTACTCTTGTTGATGTCACTCTCAAACTTATTTCATCACATTTTCCCTTTATCCCTTTTCATGTTCAATCTCCTTGTGATATTTGTCATTTTGCCAAACGGCACAAATTACCATACTACTATAGCACTACAAAATCTAATACAATTTTTAAATTACTTCATGCTTATGTTTGAGGTCCATATTCTATTCCATCAATTTTTGGACATAAATATTTTTTTTAACTTTGGTTGATGATTTTAGTAGATTCACTTGCATTATTTTGCTAAAAACTAAAGATGAGACCAAAAGACATATAATGCAATTTGTTTTATTTATTGAAACTCAATTTAATGCCAAGTTAAAACGCATAAGAACTGACAATGGGACTAAGTTTCATATGAGTGACTTCCTTCTTTATAAAAGCATTTTACATGAAAGAACTTGTGTGGAAACACCACAACAGAATGGTGTTGTTGAAAGGAAGCATCAACATATTTTGAATATAGCTCATACTCTATTCTATTAATGACAATGGCTATAAAATTTTTGACCTTTATTAAAAGGCAATGTCCCTATCAGCTTCTTCATAATAAACCACCAATTTTAATTCATTTAAAAGTTTTTGGATGCCTTAGCTATGTTAGTACTTTAGAAGCTCATAGAATCAAGTTTCGATCTAAGAGACACAAGTGTAACATTACAGCTGAATAAGATGATTAACTAATTATGCATTACTTATTCAGTAATAGTTGCTTAAAATTTTTTTTGAGTATTTTATATCGATATGCAGTTTACGACAAATTGATAATACTTAAGCTTTACAAAATGAGTTAATGATTAATCTATATGCATTGATGTAAGGGTATAATGTATTATAGACTTAAAGTGTATGTACGGATTAAGTTCATCTTTATTTTTATTAAATTTTTTTTAGCTTAACGTGTGACAATAAAAGTTGTTGTGTATGAACATTTCTACATAGAAGTTATATTTTTACCTTTAATCAAAAGAGCTTTTTAACTCTAAGATAGTAAAAGAGGATATAATTTAAATAAAGAAGAAAAATAATTAAAAAAACTTAAAAGAATATAAATTAATTTTAATTTATAAAAATATTTATTTATTAAATTTACAAGTACTCTTCAATGAATTTAAATAGAGTCTAATCTTATTTAAAATATTTTTTAACATCTAAATAAAGAAAAATTTAATTTCTCTTTGTTATCTCTTTCATCTTTTACTTTATAAATATTTCTTTTCTTTCTTTAAACTTTGAAACTAAATTTTAAAAAATTATAGATGCTATTTAATAAATATTTAATCTATTATAATATATTTAGTATTTTATAATCATATAGGATATTTAAATGTATTCTTACATAAATAACATATTTAGGTAGAAAATAAATAAATAAATAAATAAATAAATAAAACTCAATGGTGTATAAAAGGCTTCCCTTACACAAGATCTATGAATATGTGAAATATATCAAAGGATTAAATATTACTCGGATGGACAACTCATGAACAAACAATAGCCGAAATTCACCTCCATTGTTTTCTTTTAAGTGCATTGTTAACTCTATCGTACCATACCTCCTACCACATTTTTTTGGGTTAAATCCTACCACATGTTGACACTCATAATTTTGCAATATTAAGTTAGCGAGCCCATTGCATACCTACTAAGACTATAAAATAAAATTAAAGCGATCACAATGCACCAAATCCCACATAATCCTATTCTAAACAATCAATGTTCACACGCCATTCAGCGTAACCCAAAAAATGGTTTCTTCACACTTTTCTCCTACTCTCTTCTACTTGCATTTTATTAAGGGGAATGTCTGTTCAGAGTGCCACAAACATGGCCCCAAAGACAGGGGTGGCCAAAGACCACAACAAATCAACTGGCTTGAAATTTGGAATGCCAAAGCTAGAGTCACGTGCTCCTGCACGTGGAGCAGTTGCTTCAGCCTCAGGTAACTGACATGCTCCAAAGGTCATGTTTGCCTGCACAAATCTAAATTCAGTATATATGCAAAATTAAAAAAGTGGGATTTCAGGGTGAAACTATGTAAGTAATGGCTACAAACCTTGCAGGTGGCTATGCTTCCACACCCACATATTAGATGACCATTAGCAACATCTACTGCTTCTGAGGCTCCTCCTCCATCACTCCTCTGAAACATCAATGTAAAACATAAGTTTATTATGTTTACTTATATCACAATTTTGGGAGTGTACATTGTCACTTCTATGTGTATATTGCTACTCTTATTTAAGTGTTTTTTATTGTAGTTATAAAAGAAGAAAAAAAATTAAAACAAAAATTATTTAAATAGATATTTAGGAGTGATAATAAATAGTACTATCTACAATTCTCTTACTTTATTATTAGTTGCCAATATCAATTCAAAAAATTAAAGCTATTTTTGTGATGGATAATATTGTAACACCTTGTAGAAATCAACAGCAATGAAATTTGGCCAACGTTTGCCTGCTGCTTCATAGCAAGTGTTGACCATGTTAAGCAAAGGAGCTGAATTGTCTTTGCAAGATTTAGTTACATCTGGAAAATCTCTGAAGTAATTCACTAGAACTAGTGATCTTGATGTTGTGTTCATAGCTGGTGATTCTGCCCGATTTGGGCATGAACCAGCCTTCATGCCTCCATTTCCATCTGCAAGATGCAATCTCAAAGCCATTACTATTTACACATATCCAATGTAAATTTTGGTACCACATTGAACTTAAATTTTAGGAACATGTAGTGATTACTTACATTGGTTTTCTACTAAATATCGCCACTCATAGGCTATCCCTTCAGAAGCTTCCTTAGATGATTTTGAAGTGAAGACTAATAAACGCTGATTTTTCTTCACCATATCATCTACATGTGGCCAGTCTCCACCATTTTTAGGCATTCTAGATACTGGAAACCAGTATTTTCTAAGTCCAGCAGCATCAAACACCTTTGTTAGGCCTTTTGGTGATGTAACATAATCCTCAATAAAAATAGTAACAATCTCTGATGGGTTTGCATCAAGAAATACTTGAATCTCCTTGAGAACATTGATGGCAGGTTGCTGTGTTGTTCACATTTCAGACAACTATTATTATTGAAACTAAAGCATGCCCAGATTTCATAGTCACTGAAAAATACTTTTTTTTTTGGTAATTTCGTTGTACTTAATTTGGAATAGCAACAACTAAGCCACTTCTTACTTACAAAAGCTGTGTAGTTGTAGCACTGGCCCCCAAATGAATGACACAGCCAAACATCATTCTCGAAGTCATACATGTCAAGCATCAACCCTCGTACTCCATTCTGCGGGACAAATGTGAAATATAAGCCCAACATGCCAAAGCTCTTGAACTGAAAATATTTATATCCTAGAAAAATTAATAATTGAAAATTCTTTTACGCATGGCAAATTAACTAGGTATAACTTCTCTCTGACCACTTTCTAATTTCTATTATGTATTTTTATGAGTTTTGTTAATATTTTTTAAAAGTATCTTCCTCTTCTTCGTCCTTTATAAAATAAGCATTAAATAAAAAATTGTAAGAATTTATTATTTAATAGATAAAAAATTATAAACATTAAAGATTTGGAAACTTAAAATTACCTGTCTTTAATTATTTATAAAATAAATTATGCTATAGTTATTCTAAATAATTCTAAATAGTTATTCTAAAGATTGATTAGTTTTCTTATAAAAACTCAATAAAAGATTTAATTTTTAATACACTGTCTTAATTTTATTAATTTATTTAAACTAAAATTATTTATTTCATAAAATAACTTGGAATGTGGGAAAAAGGCAGGTGAGTTATCGCCACCAAGTGACCAATTGTTGCTAACCTAGTAAATGAAGTTGTTTTTACTGAGATAGTACAGATTAGATGTCTTCATTTATGTTTGCTTATGTTTGAACTTTTATCCATTTTCTCATCATGATTGTGCACAAACAAGTGTAGACGTGTCATTACAACATATTAAAACAATCTTTAAAAATAACATAATATTTCACACTAAATCCCTAAGTAATCAAACAGACCTACTAACAACTGAACTATTCAAACAAGTAAAGAATATCCAAATTGTTTAGTCAATTTAATATATAAATTCCAACATGCAAGACAATATTCATGTATGTGGGAAAACAGATAATGCTATCTTCGTCACTGGTGAGCGTCAATTCTAAATGTGTCATTAAAAATATTCAAACATCTCTAAAAATTTCCGTTTCACATAACGTCCCTAACTAATCCAACTAAGCTAGTAACCATTTGAACTATTCAACCATGTAAAGCATTTCTAGTTGTTTAGTTAATCTAAATATGTTGACAAGAAAAAAGTTAATCTCCCACATGCAAAACTATCTCGGGCGAAACTTCCATAATAGCGATTTATCCTCCACCAACCTTAAGTCATAACAACTTTCAGACTTTTTCAGGGTAAAGAAAAACGAAAAGAAAGTGGGGACCTTCAGTTCTGCAGCAATTGCCAGAAGGCAGAATCTTTACTTTCCCGGTAAGCAGAAAGAACATGATGAGAGACACGACAAATGATCATCGAACAACTGCTTAAAGTTTCAAAGATGTTTCCTTTTCTTAAATTCCACTTTTCTCCAATATAAATTTTTTCTATTAACCAAACCAAATATTATAAAATTCCAAAACATTAGCTTAAAATAAGAAAATTGTCCAAGTTTTATAAACAATATCCCGCCTCTACTATAGAATATCTTAACATATTCCTTTCACTAAATAATGAACATATGCATGCATCTCAATATTAAAATAAGATTAACTCTGATATTATATTAAGCTAAAAATATATGGTACCTAATTTACTTTTAAAAACTAACTTAAAAAGAAAAAAAATATTGCGTTAGTCTTATAAAATATTATATACCATATTCTTAATCAAGGTGCCACATCTTAACACCAAGCACAACAATTATAAGAAAATATAACAAAGAAAGAAAGAAAAAGGTATATAGCAGAACCTACGTTAAGTTGGCTTGTGATCGTGTCCTGCTGATTCGTGGGAGCCAGAATAACAGAACCGGTCTTCGATTTCTGACCCAAAAGCGCAAACGAGTTATGCGTGGTGAGCCATGAATACCGATTAAATGGCAACCCCTTAACCTATTAAAAAAACTCAGTCTTTACATTCATGGCACAAGAAGAAAACTCCAAACGCAACAAAACATAACTCAGAAAGCACAACACAGAATAAAATAAAATTAGTGAGAGACCTTTGAAGTGGGGTTGGTTGGTTGGATACGTGTGCATCTTGGTCGAACGTTTGCATTGGCCACGCACGTTTCACAGTGCAAACCCGCGTTGCAGTTCCTGTCTGCTACGCATATTTGTCCTTCCTGGTAAGGAAATTTTGAGCTCTTATGAGTTTATCAGAGAAAGAAAACCAAAACCGGTTATGATCGAAAATAAAAACAGAAGGATGTGGTTAAATTCGCTTCTATCTACCTTGAGAGAAAGGGAGAAATGGAGAAGAAGCGAAATGACGAAAAGGGTTGTTGCTATTATTGGCTTCTGCGAGAAAGAAAGAGAGGAAAGTGAAGTCTCTGTTTCAGAACAGAGGAAAAACAGAGCATGAGGAAGAAGAAAGGGAAGTAGATACCTGCATCGTTTGTTTTGTTGATAGTGTGACAGAGAGAGAATGCGAGAGGAAAGATGAGCTATTATCTCCTTTATCTGTCAGTTACAAAGATTGAATGCGAAAGTTGAATTCCGAAGAGTGCAACATGTGAACAAGACGTGTGAGCTGAAATTGAACCATTCTATAGCAGCTTTATCTGCCTTGTTGAGTTAATTACTTATATAATATTACACGCTAATATAAACATATATTTTTACTTTGCTGCATAAAAAGCAGTTAACTCTAGGATAGAAATACTAATAAGTAAATTTGAGTTCGTTAGTTTGGTAGCAAATATTAATGGGTCATGAGATGAGCCTTTGATTTGAGATAATCCATAATTGAGTTACTGAATAAAATAACTCACTCATTAATAATTAAAAGATAAAAACTGAAAGAAAAAATTATTAAAATTTTGACTATTTATTCATTCATAAAGTTATAAAATATTAATTAACAACAGTTAAATTTATAAATACAGAAATATTCGAAAGAAACAATTAGAAAACCTCTACACATCATAAAATAAAATGGGTTAATATCCATAGAACATGTCACAATCTGTGGGCTCTATAACTAAAAGACAAGTTTAAAATTTTAATTAATTAATTAATTGTTGTAGATAAAATATTTTACCAGTATGCTAACAACTTCAAAAATTTAAAAAAAAAAAGTTATACAGTAATATTACAATAATATATTAAAGTTGATCTCACTTGTCCATATAAATACTTTATCGTATCTAACAAAATAGATTTACATAAGACACCTAAACACAATATTAAAAACGATGAATAATGAATCTATTGCGGTGGTCTCTTATGGTTTCTTGTCGCGTACAACTAATGCAAAAAACTAATTATAACTGATGCTATTGTTAAAAAAATTACTAAATTACTTTTGAATGAGTAAAAAATTTATCGTAAATAATATATATAATTTTTTAATATGTACTTAAGGATATATAATAAAAATATATATGATAAATTTTTATTAAAAACTATAGTATATAACGTATTGATAATGTTAAATATTATATTACTTAGTAAAAATTTTCATATTTATTAATTTTTAATTGCACAATCTTATTAATACATTAAAAGATAATATCATAAATTTATAATAATAATTTTAAAAAATATAAAAAATAAAGATGATTGGAAGTCTCTTGCTACGAGATAGACACAGTTAGATTTATAGGGGCATTTAATTGTTTTGAAACCGCCGAAACTCAGTTACATAAAAAAATCATATTCATGAAATACAATTTACATTATTTTAATATATATTTTTTTAAAATATTGCACTAGGTTGATAAATTTAAAAGAGAATTACCCCACTTAAGCGATAAAAATAGAATATTGTAATATTATAAAAAATGAGTTCATATTTATATAAATAGAAGTGAAAGAGGCTTGTTCGATTTCGTAAAGCAAATTTAGCTTGGAACTCTTTTTAAAAGCGTCGTTAACAAGAGCTACAAAGCATGACAAAAATTGCTTTAGCGTGGGGTTCAAGTTCTCAAACATCTTCCTTCACTTCATAGTTGGAAAGCCTTGGCAACTTAGAAAATCCAAATTCCTTTCCTTTTTGTTTCACTCCATAAAAAACAACACTTTCACGCATTTAATTAAGACAGGAAATTAAGGACAAGTTTGGTTTTGGTTTTCAATGCCTTTTAACTTCAGATGAGGCTGGTCGCATTCAATTGCATTCTGTCCAACAAAAGCATATTCGCATAATGAATGTAGATAGTAGTGTTCATATAAATTTTTAGAGAATTTTTTTAAAAAAAGATTTAATATAAAAATAATATTTTTTTTTTATAAAAATAAGTATAAAACATTCCTTTTTAATAACTATTATCTAATTTAATAGTTTTTAAAATGAAAAATAAAATAAAAAATTAGTATAGACTTAATATCTTAATCTTTTGAAAAATCAATCCTTTTATGAAGTTTCTACCTAAGATTCAAATTTCATTTTAAGTAATTAAGGAAAGAGCATAATACATAGTGTACGAAAACAAAACCTATAAGTTAAACTTAGAATGTACCTAAGATTCAAATTAACACGGCATATTATAATTTGTCAACTTTGTAGCATAACATTGTATCATATAACCTTGTTTATCAACTCGTAACATATACACCGAAATAATGGATAACTTAATTTTTGTATCTTGGACAAATGAGATTAAGCTTATTTAAAAAGCGATATATAATTGACCTCGTGTAAAAAGTAAAAAATAATTATACCCATAATACATAGTTTTAATTCATCGCGGGGATTCTAAGACTCCGATAGGACCCTTCTTAAAATTGATAATGGGTTATTGAATTCTATTCTTATTTATAAGTTTGTTAAGATTTGTGTATCGTTTTTTTTTTAATTTCATAGTGATCATGAATGTTTTATCGACATTAAGAAATTTTGTTTCATCGAAAATTAGTTTAAAATTGTATTTAGATTAATATAATATATTTTAAGTAAATTTACTTTTTTTAAAAAGTCTCAACTTTATAACATTTAACATCACTAAACATAAACTCATCTTATTTTATAGAGTCTTGTAGCTAATACCTTTTCTTTTTGGATGAAATGAAAAATGAGAAGTGGAAAAAATAGAAAAAAAAAGTAAAAAAAAAATATTGGACAAGGTATAAGATAGAAAATATTTTACTATTTGGATGGATAGAAAAAAAGTAAGAAACAATTATACTTGTTTGGATTAATAAAAAGAAAATAAAAAAAGATCGTTATATAATAATAAAAAAAACAAAAATAAATAAAACTTTTAATAGATTCACGAGTCTCACATAATTTTTTTTCCACTCATACAAGACAACTTTCAAACATATAAAAATATTAATTTTCTACACTTTTTTATCTTTCCTTAGTCTTTTCCTACTAAACGAACAAACATTAGGTTATTAGTTAAAAAATTAATAAACAAATTTTTTTTATTTTAAATCATATTAAAGATACATTAGAAATAACAAAGTGATTCTAGAATACATTTATGTTGTTCTACTTTTTTTAATACAAAACCTTTTTTTTATTTTTATTAATGTATTTAAAACACTGATGAGCATTTATCCATGTACATAATACTGATTCTAATATTTTTCATGATCCAAACACCATATAACATTAAATTTTTTTTAGTGTACACTAATATGTTATTATTCATAACAAATGGGCATTAGAAATTGTACCTGGCGATGAAGGAGTTCATGATTAAGACTCAATGGAAGAATGGTTAATTCATTCTAGGCTAATAGCTTCATGTAGCTCCAAAGTCACATTTGCTCTAAATAATAATCAAATCAAATTCTATTTCGAGTTAATATAGGAACTTCACACCAATCACACGGTCTTCTATATCTCTTTTTCTTCTTCAAGGTCATTTAGTTATAACATCACTAACGTCACTTTATATACTAAAATCTATGGATATTAAACATAAATAGGGGGACAGAACTGTCAATAAACTAGTAGCACCTATGTAACCAAAAAAGAAGTGACATAAGCTAGTTTCACTAGTTGTATACCTTTCAAATGACTGAAATCAGTGAAATGCCATGTTTCCTCACGCCCCAAGCAAGTTTTTATTTGCCATATCTAATGCTTCTGGGGCTCCCCCACCATCACCTCTCTGAGTATTCCATCCACAAATTACTCCATTGAATAAAATGTACCAATATGTAACTAAAAATCGATGCTCTTAAGGTATTAGTTTGTAAAATGTTTTTAAATTTTACCTTGTAGAAATCAACAGCAACATAGTTAGGCCATCGATTACCGGCGGCTATGAAGCATATATTCATCATGCCAATCAAAGGAGATGAGTTGTCCCTGCAGGCTTCTTTAGAATTTTGGACATTTCGAAAGTAGTTCATTAGGACTAGTGACTTTGTGGTTGTGTTCATTGGAAATGATTCAGCTCGATTTGAACAAGAACCTCCCCTCATTCCATCATGTCCATCTACAATTTTGGAACTAGTCAAATATTGACTCTGCTTAGTAATACTTAATATATAATTCGATTTTAGAGGCATAATATGGGACTCACATTGATTTTCTACAACAAAATTCCACACATAGGCAATTCTTTCAGAAGACTCCCTTGTAGCATTTGAAGTGAACACAATTAGCCTATGATTTCTGCGTATCATTTCTTTGACTGTTGGCCAATCATCTCCATTCTTGGGCATTTTAGCTAGTGGAAACCAGAATTTCCTCAATCCAGCTGCATTAAACACCTTGTTCACACCATTTCGTGATGTTACATGATCCTCAATGAAAATTGTGATGATCTGTGTTGGGTGTGTTACAAGGAATGCTTTGATCTCTTTCAGAACATGAATCGCAGGTAGCTGTTAAATCGTGTTAATTAATCAATGCTCTAAAGAATTTGAAAAAAAGACATGCTTGAGCTTAACCAAATCAAATGAAATTAGTACACTTTTACTATGCATAGTCGTTCAGAATATTTCACAGATCTCTTACAAAGGCTGTATATTTGATGCACGGCCCTTGACACAACCAGATGTCATCTTTGTAGTCATGCATATCCAGCATTAATCCTCTCACACCATTCTGCGATAGAAAATGTCTAGTAAATATTGTAATTATTTGTATACATGAACTTACGTTCAGAATCTAAAATGACATTTATCTATGATGTGTTTGGACAAATATTTGCAAGTTTAAATAAACTCGACTTTATAAAAATAATTTTGTTTAACAGTGAGTTTAAAAAGATGTGATTTATGTTTGAATTTTTTTTTCCTTAAAGGTAAATCTATTAGTAAATTCAGTGTAATTTTTTTTTCAATTTAACACAAAAATTATTATTTTCATATTGATTTAAACATGTTTAAAGATAAAATAAATCAAATTTACGTAGAAGTATATCTATATCTATCTATCTATATATATATATATATAATATCACATTACAATGAAATAAATGCCGTTTGATGACATTTTAACTTCCATCCAAACATGTAATCATAGTTGCTTCATTCATTTCAGATTTAATAATAATAATTAAAGATTAAGGAGAGTGTATATTTGTAACATACT